CAGTAAAATAGGTGTAACCCACTTAAACATTTGCATGATGGATTTTTAACAAGTAAGTGCTTCTTACACGATGTAGCTTATTTCAGATCTCTTGTCAGATGTTTCTACATAAACAATGTACCAAGTTGTCTTATAGGCTAAATTTTATGGCACTGTGTGCCAGAAGGGCATCTATCTTATCATGAAGGAACCCCACCTGGCTTATGCAACCAAGGTGTGATAGAGACATGATGGTTGGAATCTAGAAAATGAGTAACACCTGCTTTTGTTTTCCTAGTGCTTTCTGGTGAGCTCTTCCTAGAATAGTCATGGAGCCTGGGCTGTTATGTTCCTTTGGTGCAGCTGAATGCTTGTTTTCAGTTTCCAAAATTCCATTTAATTTATAACTTTATAAACTTATAATAGAGTTTAAGGATTTATCCCATTTTTATTTTTTGTTAAGGTAAAAATGGATTCAAGTAAAATCTGGTTTTAGTTCTCTCCATTAAAAGCAGGTGTTTGAACAGTATCAAAAAGACATTTCACTGGAAAGTGAAAATGTATATGTGAGGCTTATTATATTGCTTTTTTATGAACCAGACACTGGTGCATTTTGTAAATGTGCTTTGGTCTTTATTAATCATAAAAGTAACCGTATCCTCTGTGGTGCAATTATTTATTTATAATACAGGTAAGATCTTGTATGAAATTCAGTCATACTATGCCATTTTTGCATATAAATATTTTTAAATAATTTGCTTTAAAAGTGGACAGTTTAGTTTAACATGACAGAAATCTGGACCATACTTGTTGAACTATAAATTGACCTGGTGGTTCCACCGCATCACTTGAAATTTGACATCTTAAAATTTAGTACCTCAACATTCAGATTTAAACTCTAGTCCTTGACTAGACATAACTGTATGTAGGTGGATGTATCATGTACCTGGATGAATTTATTTGGTTTGCATAAACTTTTATGCTGTTTCTCACAAATAGTCACAGGCATGTTTTTCATAGTTCAAACCCCAATTTTAGTGGTTTGCATCTGAAGCACTGGGCTGATAGAGTTGATTCTTGTGTGTCTGGATCTGATGAGGATACCCATGTTTTTGTTGCCATCCCTTTGATCAAAAGCTGTTAGACTTAAGCAGGTAGTTTCTCCACTACTATTTTCATTCCTGTATTCTACCAAGCACAGAATTTGATGCTTACACTTCTGGAGGTAGAATGTGTGCTTTACACATTAAGGTCTGATTATATGAAGGCAGATGCCTTGTCTGTTTCTTGTATATCCATAACTACCTATAAACAAATATCAAGGGTGATAGATGCTTAAGAACTCATTCAGCCTACATTGAAATGCCATAAATTACACAGATCTAAAAAGCCTCTCAAGGTTTTGTGAAAATATACTTGAAAAGGGTTTTTGTACAAAAATATTGCAGAATTCTGCATACATGCAATATTCAAGTGTGTTAAGTATAATAGTAGGAGGAATGTATTTTTAATTATGTTTTTAAAGACACTGCTATCAGTTGCACTTCTGGTGTTTGAATGTTTTAGTTAATATCAAAACCTACGGTTGTTATTGTGGTAAAATGATAGTGTGAAATTGATGCTGTTATACTATAACAATAAGGACTTGACTCATGTATTTTATGTACACATGCATTCAACTGTAGTGACAAATGGCTTCATGCTGTGTGATTAAATGCATATTAGCATTTGCCCTAGGCATTTGATTATTACCATCTTTACTTCATTACATTACCACACTGTATGGCCATATAATTTATAAGATAATACAGACATCACTTTGTTGCTGATAGGAATTATTCTGTTTTATGGATGGTGTCCTTTAATTTTGCCTTTCATGGATTATAAAATTGCTTAATATCTGCTGAAGTGAATCACTGGAGAAGCAAATAAAGATGTTGGCCTCGGGTCACAGTGTCATTTGTGATACTGGCAAAATCTTACAGCCTCATTTATCCCTGTACATGATTGATAACACCATGGGTTAAATGGAGAAAGCTTTGCTTCCATTAAAGGATCATCATGAATGAAGACCTCCCACTTAAAAGTCAGGCATGATGAGAAGACAAGAGACTATCTACAGGTCAAATTAAATAACTTAAATAATTTAAGTGGAATGACAGTGTAATTTGTTCATTCTGTGTTATTACCCTGACCCCTATCAGGCTTATAGGCTAACTTACTTTCTAGTGTAGGGTATTTAAGATGTAATTTTTAATAAGTGCTATTCAAAGGTATAAAGCCCTTTATGGCACTTAAAATTGTGTTGAAATGGATTTTATAATGTGCTTTTTTAAAAGTAATTTTTGTCTTTATTTTGTTAAACATAACACAAATAATAGGAAAGTAAATATAGTAAAAGCTTCAAAATAAGCATTTTTACTTCAACTTCTAGAATGTTACCTCATGTACTTATACAATTATTTTGCAGGTATTCTGACAAGTAAATAAGTAAAATGCATGTATTTGGAAATATCTTTGATTACAGGATATTTTATTTTTGTATTTTCTGTGTCAAAAGCCATTTATTAGTTGTCATATGTCTTCACAGTAGCTCTAGACAGTTGTCTTAATGTGTGATGTCAAAAGTAGGCATTTTATCAGTATAAGACAGGTATTTTAAAGTATTCAGTTTTGAAACTTTACTATTCCATTTTACACACTTTTCTTTCTAGTCAAGCACGGTATAAATTATTTGGCAGGTAACAAAGTTCTTTCTGTGGTGGAAGAGACCACAGAGGTGTCACACACAACCCAGAGGAGGAGGAGAGGGACTGCATATAGCACATACTGTACCCTGCAGTTTTCAGCAGTAGGCTGTGAAGCAATTTGCTGCAGTCTTGGAAAAAGCAGAGTACAAACTGCCCATGGGAAAATAGTACTTCCATGCTGAAGGGACGGGTGAAGACTCAATGAGCTTCACTCAGAAAAGCCTTTATCCTTACTCACTGCATTAGGGAGGTGAAGTCTTGTTTGTCAGGTGCTCCTGCTGAGATCAGTGAACTGAGAGAAGCCTATGGATGCCTGAGGCCCATTTTCTTCCATCCCTTAGACTATAGCATTGGTTTGCAAATATCCCCCTGCGAAAATAATTCTCAGATTGCTTTTTTGATGGGAAAGAAAATCACAAGTCTCAGTGTGTTAATACGCATTCTTCTACTGGTTGACTTGAATACAAATTATTTCATAACTAAAGTGCATTCCATCAAATGCACCTGCCTTTGTAGGATGAAGCCCAGAGTTGCACTATCCTTTTGCCTTGTCAGGTTTTTCACAGGCGCTCTTATTATTTTTCCCCCTTATTAACACAGGCTACTGAGAATCTCCATTTGGTAATGGTACTGTCTTGTAGAAGTTAATGGCTGCAGAATCCCCCAGCTCTAAAGCTGTAATGCCAGCTGACAACAATAGACTTTGGAGCATGGATCATGTCTTAACATCATATTCACAATATCTTAACCTTCAGATCAGAATATAGCATGGTTAAAAGTGGAATCAAATGGCTCGGTGCCTAATCTATTATGCATAACATTAGCATTTTTATTAGTTTTGTAGTTATGGTGACCTCCCAATGCTTGATATTATATCAGAAGTTTAGTCTGTAGTAGTGCTTCACAAATTAGTGCTGCAACATCTCTCAGCAGGGAAACAATTTTGAAAACTTGGATGAAAGAAACAAATTTGTAATGTGCTTAAGGTCTTTTAATGTGCTTAAGGTCTGATTTAATCACTTCTAAATCCTAGGCTAAAGAAAAAGTAGTTTGTTTGGGTTTTTATTATCCTAACACTTTACTTTTTAAAAACTCTAGGCCTAAACTCTCTCTAAAATGTATTCAGACTGGCTGCACAGTGGCTGATTCATGTTGGCACATTGACAGAACAGATTTGTTGCCTGAAGATGGTACATGTTTGTACATGGCTCTTAGTCAGACCTTTATCCACCACCTCTTCAAAAGTTCTTCAAACATACACATTTTTACGCTGCCAAAAGAAACTTATAAAAGTATATCAAATTAACATTTCAGCATTATTCATGTGTTTTAACATAGAAGACAAAAATAAGCCTGATTTTCCTGTTTTTAGCAAAAGGTGATTTCAGTAACTCAGAATAACACTCACGGTGAGGAAACTAAGTAGGGAATCAATCTATTATCCATGACCAAGAAGCTTAAATTTGATCTATGTTAGGGTTTTATTTAGACAACATCCAAAAAAGTGGTGAGCCCTGATTTGTGGTTGTTATGCCCCAGTGATACAGACCAGGTCTCTGTTCTTCCTGCAGGAATTCCTTTCTAAGGGTTCTGTGGCAGCGGCCAGGTCAGTCGTAACTCCTGTGCTTTACCCCTGTCTCTAATTCTTAGTACAGAAGTGCACACAGAGTGTCTCTGGGAAGGGAGGGCATTGGGAATTCTAGTGGACTGTTGGAAATTCAGTGTCAAGCAAAAAAAAATATAATATGGAAAGTACAGCTGGAATACATATAGTGTTACCTTTTTGTGAATCAAATGCTGACTAAATATTGTAGTAGTCTCTGATGTCACTAACAAACACACTTTGTCCCTACACAGTCACATGGTTTGTGTCTCAGCTAACTCCTTGCTTGACAACAACAGATGTAACTGGCTTAGAGTACAATGTTTTGATATTTGGTCTTGTGGGAATAGAACCAAAATACAACTCTAATACTTCCTTTTTCATGCTTATCACAGTCTTTGTTTAAAACTAAAACCAAACAAAAAATAAAAAGGAAAAACGAATCAATGTGGTGAATTATTGATAAAGCTGTTTGTTTTCTTTTACAGTGTTGTACTCTAATTTACAATTCAAATATTGGCAATTGCATAATGGCTGTTAACTAGTAGGTTTTTTCCTTTTATGAAGAATTTGCTTCTACATTTGCAAGTTTTGCACTTTGACTGTTCTCTTAAAGATAAACTGGAGAGGAAATGCCCATTTTTATTTTGCAGAAACAAGTTCTAAGAATGGATGAAGAATTTAAAACACAAGCCCTTGACTCCACTCTTCAAAGTCCATCAGAGACATTACTTTCCATTCGACTGTTAGACTTTAAAACAAGTTTATTGGAGGCAGTAGAAGAACTGCGTATAAGAAGGGTAAATAGTTTACATTGGTTTTTACTGTTGTATTTCTGTCTCCTTGTATGCAACCACAGGAAAGCTGCCTAAGTGTGGGTAAACTTCATGCATGTGTTTTGCTGTTGTTTTTTTGTTGTTTTTAAAGTATCATGGTTTTAGGCATTGTCAGTATTAGAAATGTGTCTGTAGGCAGCACAAAGGCACAACAGTGTTGCATGGGCATGAATTTGGCTTTCCTGTAATTGTGTACAAAGTTGCTACAGTTGATCACCAGGATATTGACAAAAATTATCTACATTACCTTTTTTGTGGTTTATTTTAGTTCTTCTCTTTAAGAGCAGCCTTTGGTAAGAAAAGTAAAGAAGCCAAGTCCAGAAGTCTTTTGGCTTTGATTTGCCATTTGCCAGAAAAGCAGTAGTTTTGACTTGTTCTTGTTTGCTTGTGCTTTTCAAAATTACTTAAGAGGGCAAATAGCAACTGTGATAAAAAATCCCCCGTATTTTAACATTTTAAAAAATCATTAAGCTATTAAGTTAGAGCCGTACAATAATAGCGTATGAATGTTGGGGTTTGTGGGGTGTGTTTTGGTTTTGAAATGTGAGTTGAATAATTTATAGTACTAAGATAAAATTGTTTCTGTGTTGTTGAAGGCAGCAATATTTGGCTGTGGTTAATTTTTCATTTATATTGTTCTGTGGTTACTTTTTCAGATGTGTGAATTTGTTTCTATTTCTTCCCCCAGTGTTTCTTAACTGTGGTATTTTTGAAAGACCTAAAGTATATCTTTCTGTATTTGATGAATTTGACCTGTTCAAATGATGTGTGTTATTACTATAAATATATTAATATTGATGACATGCTTGATTTATGTTTGTCTTGATCTTAGTTAAATACCCTAATCCTCTCTTTAAAAAACATAAACAAAAGAATTACTTCCACTAAAAAAAATCCAAGAAAGAAGGTGCACCTTTTTTGGAGCAGAATTGTTGAAATTCACCATAGTCTGACCCATAGTTACAATGGTAGTGTTTAGTCTAGTCTAATTATCATTGTATCAAAAAGTAAAGCCTGAAGAATTTAACTTTTATAAAAATTACTTGAGTGTATTTTCATTTAAGATCTTTGAGCTAATGCTATTTACACTCTGAACTTTGCATTTTAGTGCACTTGGGCAGAGCCTAAAATGTTTATAGAGTGCCATGGGGATTGCCTAAAATGTTTAGAGTGCCCATGGGTTTTTTTTGGTTTTGCCTTTCTTGTATCTACTATGCCACAAAAGTAAGTGACTGTGGTTATATAAAAGGTTGACTCAGGAGGATGAGTATTTTTTTGGATGAAGAAGTGATTTTAGTTTGAAAATCAGTTAATGCCTAGAGGCAATTCCATAGGTAAGACATGGCCCTCAATTTCTGAAACATCTGTGCCTTTCTTCATCCATAAGAAAAAAAGAAAAAAAAAAGAAATTAACTGTTTATAGCTATAAATTTAGGTAATTAAAAAGTTTTTGAAAAGTTAATAATCTTAACAAAAACTAAATTTTAAATCTTTAAGTATCTGTGCATACATTTTAGTTGTTTGCTTTGCTTTAACAATGAAATTGGAACTGCTTGCTTAGTAAGTTTGAAAATTTGAATATAAAACAATAATATTGTGAACAAGCAAGGGTTCTGAATTAGTATGGCCACAAGCAGTGCCATTCATTTTTTATTTTTAAAGTAGAACTCTGTACAGATGCTTTTGCTTAAAAAGTGATGCTATGAAATCCCATTAACTTTGTTCCAAAGTCTGTCAGTCTTGCTCTGCAGAGTTAATTTTGTTGAGTAATATGAGATGATCCTTTTCTTAAGGGATAAATATAATTGAATTAGACAATACAAAGTTGCTGCATAGTAGGTCAAATTGGAAGTCTTCCTGAAGTACAATGCACATAGGAGAGCTGATGTTAGGTTTTAAGATAATGTCTGCAAGGGCAAGAAAGCACCCATGTTGTGCCTTGAGTCATCTTGTTTCTTTTACTAGATATAGAAAAACATCTTTGTCAAGAAAAGCTTGTAAACATGAGAAATCAAGGAAATTCTTCCATAGATATATGTCCTGATACTCTGGGGATATGGGTATTTTTGCTAGTAGTTGAAGCAGAGGAGGTGTTGATTTGCTGTATATAAGAAAGAGAAATTTTAGTGATTATGTTTTTGAATTTTACTAACATTTTTGTTGATGCAAAGGACAAGTTTCAGTGACCTGATTCTGTACCTGAATGCTCTTTCTGGTGTTGACTGGGACATCACAAAATCTGGCTAATGCTATAGATTCTGTAATTTCTGCCTGGAGTGTATTAGATTTTATATTTTTCTCTGTAGTAAAATTACAAAGAGTTACTTCACAAAGTAACTTTTTCTTTAGCATAAAAGAAAATGTGTTCTATTAAAGAACATTAGAGTTGCAAAGGGCATTCAGTTTACCCATAAAACATTTTCTATGTTCAAATAAATAGTTTAATATAGTATTATTTAAGTATTTCCTTTTAAAATCCTGAAATCCATACTCTCTCACACCCCATCCCTCCCATTTTGTAGACTGAAGCCATATTGAGTTATTGTTTGTTACTATCCTACTATGTAGTGTCAAGCACTACATGAAGCATCCCTTGCCTGAGCCAAAGGGGTATGTTGACATAGGAGGTGGTGTTAGAATCAGTCACCAGAAGTGAGGATATCATGTCTGCTTTGCTAGGGAATTTCATATCTGTGCTCACAGCAGAGGAATGTGGAGTGTTAGGACTTCTGGAATCAGTTTCACGTTGTAGACAAGAGTCTTCTTTAAAGGCTGGTTGGTCTGATAATTTTGCTGATATTGAATCTATTCTCCTTCCCTGCAGCTCTTTTACCCTTCTTTCTTTTCCCTGTTTTTCCTGGTTTCTGCTCCTTTCTGTCTTCTGTTTTGTTACAAGTTAGACCTCCTTTTTGTGCATATGCACATTCATGCTGGTGGCCAGTTAGCAGTCATTGAGAAAGAAAATACAAGGAGGATATTGCCTGATGGACTTACTAAAAGAGACAAATGCTCAATCTTGCCTGTTGTCATGAAGCAGACATTATGGCCCTCCCAACACCTCACCTTGAGGTTTTCTGGTTGCTGTTATCAGAAGCTGTAGCTCAGTCTGATGCTGCAGAGCTGTATGTATCTGCCCTTCAGGTAGGTTTGAGCAACTTTGTCTCCATTCCTCAAACTCTAGCTTTGCTATGGCTTTGACTATTCTAATCCAAGTTCTTCAAATCTTCTCGATTTTTCTTAGAGGAAGGAGATGAAGGATCTTTGTTCACCCTTTACTCTCTGTCATTTGTAAAATGTACTTTTCCCCTCTGGCAGCTATGAAGGTGTTTCCACTGCACCATGTAGCACCATGTAGAGCACATTGTAGCTCAGGATACCTGAGCTAGTCCATTCCTGGATGGAAAAGGTATACATAATTGTGCAGAGCTAGAGTTTAGTTAGACAAGTGGAGATCGGTATGGAAATGAAATTGAAAGTGGCAGTAACAAGACTAGTATTTGTAAATATCAGAGAGTTGCAAAAGGTAAATTGGTTTGGTTTGGTTTGGTTTTTTTGAGATATTAGGGGAGGAAAGTTGATGAAACCCGAAACTGAACAGAAAGAGCAAAGCAGGACTAAACTTGAGTTATGAGTGGTAATACACTATTGGTGGTCATGCTAGTTATGATAACTGCTATATTGGTTGTGCTATGTCTAGACCTAAAAAATCCCAGAAGCATTACATTGCACACAAAGATAAGTCTTGTTGGAGGCATGTTCTGCAAGAGAACCACCACCTCCAAATGTGTGGAATAGCAGAAGAGTTTAAAAGGCTACCAGAGACACCTGCTATATAGGTAGCTCTGTGGAAACAATATTCTACAGGGAGCAAAAATGAGATGGAATGAAACTGGGGCAGAAAGAATTATTTTTTTTCTAATGAAATAGAGCTTGGGTTTTAATTATCATTTGACTGTTGCATAAGATGAGAATCATGAAAGAAAAAAAAATTTAATACTCTTTTGAGGTTTCTATTAATGCAAACAATTAAAATTTTAGAAAGTAAGGCAGAACAATTTTTTAGAAATAGGTTGCTAGGGAGATGAAAGATCTTAGTGAAGTCCATTGCAAGGAACAATTCTGACTGCTAACAATAAGAAAGGTGAAGAGCTTGATTTAATTTTCTTAAATGATAGAGTAAAAAGAGGAGATTGAGTCAGGGGGAGAAACAATGTTAACACGGATTAGAGAGATGTGGTGGGTTTTTTCTTTGCTACCTAGAAGTTGGCAAACAAGACACCTCTGACACAGGTGGCAGTGAAAGAGAACAAAAAATTCTAAGTCTTACAGCTGTTTTTTTCTGCCTATGTGTAAATTAGGGTACTTTTAGCAAAGGTGGAAACGAAGCTGAATATTAAAAAAGTAAATATGTGGCTGCAAAAGAATAAGCATTACTGAAGCTTATGGATCTCATTACTGTGACATATACAAGCAATGTCTTAGTTTACACCTTCTGTGTAAGCAAATAATGTGGCTTTTGATTAGGAACTGATTATTTGAGGTTGGAGAGAAGAGCATTATGAGTATCAATACAAGCATTTAAAGGAATATATTTATGTAGATTAGATTTATTTAAATATAGAGCTATTAAAGCCTATGCAATGAATCAAGGACAGGGCCATGGAAGATTTCTAAAGGAAAAGAGGTGATTGGTACAGATTTCTCTTTCTCTGCTTCTGAAAAAGGACAGTTTTTGAGTATAAATTCCAAATATGTTGTTGCTAAAGGTTTTGGTTAATAATTGTAGCTATTAAGATTCAAAAACATTGTATCGGGAACTAAAGGTAGAATAAAGCTGTTATAAATATTTTTGTTTCCTCCCTCTAACATGTGTTGTGGGAACAAAATTTAGGAAGGATATCCATGCAGTGCACTAAAAGTTGTACTGGACTGTTTACTGTACAAAGGGTATTCAAATTATAGTGTGAAAAAATCAGAAACTAGTTTCTGTGAGTACTATTTGATTTACGTGCATGAGAAATTGGATGTACAATTTTGTAGGAGGTAGATTGTGAGTTTGAAAAAGATAATAAAAGTACCTAGCAGCAGTTTTGGCTGCTTGGACATGAGCCAGCTGTACTCTGTTCCTAAATCTGTTCAGGGTCAAGAATCGAGGGGGCTTGACCAATCCACAGCCCATCTTGTAAAACTACAGCCTCAAGCAAACACTTTAAAGAAGGCTTGACACTTTCTAAAGGTTATATCGAGTAAATAAACCATCAAATTACTCCTCTTTTATTGTTATGATAGTCTTTTTTATAAAAACACTTAAATCCATGTAGTCCTAAGGCATCTAATAAAAAATGAACACTTTTAAGGTTTTTTGTTTTTTTGATACCTCATCAAAGTTATGTACAATATTGGTCTCAGTATAATGGAAATGTTTTTGTCTTACTAAACAGCTGGTGGAACTTTTAAAAAAAAAAAAAAAAAAAAAAAAAAAAAAAAAAAAGTGCTTCACACAAGTTTTAAGAGCTTTCAATTCAAAATTGGTAAACTAAATGTGCCCTTTGAAAGAAGTAAAAATGATGGATAAGGTTTATAATTGTTAGCAATTTCACAGCAGGACACTTTTATCATGTAATTGTCATTCTCAGTTTAGTATTTATGATGTTTATTTTTTTCAACAGTAGTTACATATATACACATTTTTGATAGCTTCCAGATTTTCCTGTATCATTTGAGAGTGAGTTGGAGGAGTGTTGTTCACCTAGAACTTTGGTTCTCATCCTCTTTAGGTCTCACTTAAAATGGAATTTAATGCATTTTTCAAGCTCACATTATTGTATTTACTTAGCTAAATGTAGATGCTTGGTATGGATGTGGGAGTTAAATTTTAACATGTTGTTTCTTAGAATGATTGTAAAATTTGAAACCAAGTGTCTGCACAAAAATGGATTTCTGTATGCTTTTCAGTGTCCTCATTAGGATTTAAAATACTTAAACATTTTAGAATTGAAAGGATTTATATGTTTGATTTCAGTTCCATTGTTTATAAAATATTTTTGTTGTTGTGTACATTAGTTAACTGTTGTGTTTTGGAAGCCCAGTCAATTTGAATTAAAGTTTTATTTGTCAAGAATTTATAATGCTATTATCTACTATGTTGCTACCCTTTCAAATATTACATTCTTTTCCCTTTGTTTCATGGTGAGTTTTCATAGATAGATACTTGTTGATCTCCAGCAACCGTTGAAATTAATGATAGATTTGCCATAAATTTTAGTGAGGTCAGAATCACAGTGTGTATATTAAGCTTCTTTTATCTCTGTTACCACCTTATCTTCATAGCTGTATTTCTTTTCTGATGCTAGCTGAAGTTTGAAGTTTGTTTTATAAGTGCTCTAAACTTGAGCTTCTGGCTTATTACAAATACACCAAATTAGATTATTTTATAAAGAAGAAAAGGAGAGACATTGATATGCATAGAATCTGAAGAAATGCAATAACTAGTAATATTAGTTTGCATTTTCTCAAAAAATATCTTTGAAAAATTAGCCAGCACGTTATGAGAAGGCATATTAGGACTCAGTTGTGCGGGCAGTTCAGGTACTCCAGGGCCACTGTCCTTTGTGTTATCTAAGTCTATGCTACATCTTCTGTGGCAAGATGTTACTATTGCTTCTGTTGCACTGGTACAGAATCTTGAGTTCCAGGGCACTAGGTCTGTTCCATGGGATAACTGGTCACCTCCTTCTCTCCGTTTAGTTGTTCACTGCATCAAAATTTTTGGTTTTGTCTCTTGAATACCCTTATGTATGTTAGTGCCTGCACATTGGAGTAGTGAAAATACATACTCTGGAATTAGGCAAGAATACTACTGCAAGGCATTTTAATTGGTTTAAGAGTAATTTAAATAGTGTGTTTAAGGGTCAAATTTTATAATCCTTACTTCTTACAATTTTGAACAAGGCTTTTGCTAATAAAATATTCTAATAGCATTTGTTGTTTAATGACATAAACTGCTTAAGATTACTCTTCTATAAGAAGCTGTAAGTCAACCTCATTTGTTTTTATCACTCCTGGGAACTTAGACGTGTGTGCTTTTATTTCAGTACTTTAAGGTTAGTATCAGAAAACAAATTAATTGCGGCTCTGAAGTGCTATTGTTAGGGCAGAACTGGGGAGCATTGTTACTCTTCAAAATTTATGTATTATTTTTTACCACAAGACAGGTGAAATCTTAGTCTCCTCCATCTATATTCTACTGGTACGTATCAGAGAAGCAAAAGCTAAGGAACTTTAGTTCTCTGTCAGCCAAATTTTCCTTTAAAATATGTTATGAATATTTTACATGTAAAATTCACGAGTCCAAAATAATAAATATTCATATACTTTCAGTTGAATTAATTAAAATGTCCCAAATATTCTGACTCATTAATCATGATTATCTGTATCTGATTAACAAGTGATTCTTGAAGCATTTATTGCAGCTTGCTGAATTTCTCTTCATCTCAGTATTTTGACTTGGATCATCAGAATATTCACTCATTTTTCAACTGTGAAGTCAAGTCTGGTTTTGTTGTAAAATGCGGAAGAGAATATGGATGAAGTTCCTATATAGCAGTTCCTGCTATAATCCAAGCTCCTAATAATCTGCTATGCATTTAAATCCAAGTTTCTTATTCTGCAGGTTTTTTTACCAAAATAATTTGTAACAGTTTGTTTTACCACATCTGGAGAGCTTTTGTTCTGTTTATTTTTTTGCTGTATGGTGTGTAGGCACATCCTGTTTTTTGTACTAACCTGTGAAGGAAGAAGAGTAAGAATACACAATTTATGTTTGTGTTTGATTTGCAGATACTGGCTTCTGTAAGTGTGTTTTTTTTGTTTTAAATAGGAATCAGAGATTAATTATGAAGATCAAATAAGTAAAATGGTTGTAGAGAAGCAGGAACTTGAATGGCAGAAGGTAATTTTTCTGTGTGGTTTTAGTATGTTAACTGCTAGGATTTTATGTTAATATAATAATATAATATTAATAATGATTTGGTACAATTCTCCTTTTTAAGGCTATTGTAATTTCTAACAGTAGAATGTGGTAGTCAATAGTTTATTGTCAAGTTATGAACTTCAGAATTTTCTACTTTGATTCATGTTGTGCCCAACCTAGAAATCTGGTTAACAAAAGAGTATTGTCTAATATTTGACACAACTGGAAATTTTCATTCAAAAGGGATGTAAATATTGAAGCAACAAGACATTTAACTTAACATGAGACACGTTAACATGTTAGTGTGGGGGCAGCTACACAGCAGCTTCTCTGTATTATGCCTGGCTTTGGCAAGTGCAAGTACCAGTGCAGTTGTACAAACAACTTGACATGCAATGTTTTGGGGATGAGAATTAGTCCAAAAAAAAATTAAAACAGAAACTGATGTTAGACATACTCAAAAGGGGTTTGTCAGCTTTTAACTGCTCAGAATGAAGTTTTCAGTAAAATAAGTTGAGCATTCTTCTTTGGGTTAGGGCTCCTGAGGTTATGCTTTGATAGGAAATCCATTCCCCTCTCTAATACAATCAAACCTATGACCCCTGTCACTAGGTCACAAGATAAAAGGTTTCACTCTGTATATTTTACGATCACAGAAAAAACAATAATTTCAACTCTATCCTTGATCTTGGGATATTTAACATCTTAGTGGTAAAGGAAAACTATTTCATCTTGGAGTTCATCCTAACCATCTTAAATTAATAATCCTAACTATGTGCTTTTTTCTGAAAGATATATATGTGCACACAGAAACAGGAAACATTTTATATTTGTAAAAGCAACAGTGCTTTCAGTTTGGTAACCCTTCTTTGCTTTTCTTAACCTAGCATTTCATTTCTTAATAAATTGGGTTCAAAGGAATGATTTCCATTCACTCTAAGACCTTAACAGCACTTTAATTTGCAGTTAATTAAAAGATGGAACTTACAGGCAGTTAGGTGAAATCCCTTTATTCTTCACTTTGCATTTAACATTGGCATATGGCAAACCTAGTGTAAACAATGAGTTGTAGATATTAGGAACTTCAAGTCAACACATATGTAGAGCTCTGGAACACCAAAGCAACAAGCTAATATGAGTGTCTAATTCAGGACATCTCAGTAAGGTGAAAATGCCAAGTATGACATTTAAATTGAATTTGGGACCTGGTGGTTTCTGAATACAGAATCATATTGACCTCAATAGTAGTTCAGTAAGTTGTCAGCTTCTCCTGCCTTATCAAAGGTTCTGTTCTGTTTTTACCTTCAGAGAGATTCCTTTCAGTCAACACTTCTGTGATTCAGTATGGATTTTATTTTACCTTATATTTAGCAAATTAGTTTGAAATTAATAGATTACTTGAGCTAAGTTTCTGGTTTTATATTGCAATTTTAAAGCAAATCTTCATCTATGTTTTATGAATACTGTTGCTGCTCTTGAAAAAAAAAATACTAGGGTAGGGAAAACAGAATAACTGGATAAAATATTCTTTTAAATCTAATGAATATCCTCATGCTATAACATTACAATATTAAAGGTGATTTTGCTTATATTTTTTGAAAGTAACTTTGTTCTTCACTCTCCCTGAACTACACACTTGGCATGTGTGGAAAATTTATTGCAAAACTGAATTGCTGAGGAAGTTGTATTTAAATATTTTATTTAACAGTCTTGGCTGTGTGGCCTGTTCAGAAATGAAAATTTGTAGGAACTCCCCAGTCTTTTTTTTTAATAGTAAAAGACATTAGTTGAATACACCATGTAAAGGAGGCTGTGCTATACTACGGAGAGCTCAGTAATGCTTATTTCCAGTTACTTGTTACATCAATCACAAAATTGTATGTAATGATGTATTGTAAGGATGACTGTGTAACCAAACTTATATCTACACACATTATTTTATAATATTGGCTAGAATTCCTATAATCTAAAGGAATGTCATCTTAACTTGACAGTTCTGTGGATACAAACATTTTATTCCTGTGGTGGGTAGGAATACTTCACTGAGAAGTTGACTTGCCAGTGCAGTACCATTTTTGTCTCTCTAGTATAGCTGATATGCCCCTTTACCCACTGGAAAACCTGTGTCTTTGAAGACAGTTCTCAGTGCCAACTTGAGGAAAACATTCGTCAATACTTTTATTTTCACATTTTAAAGTATTTTTTCATGTAATATTGCTTGTTAGATGCAAATACAAACTTTACTTATCTTACAATGAGTATGTGCATGAATATAAAACACCTTTCTTCAGTAGATTCTTGCCTTTTGTCAAAGGGCAGCAGCTCTCACATATGGAACTTGAAAGCAACAACAATTTGCAAAATTGAAAGTAGCAATTTTGAGACAGACTTTATGTCTGAAAAACTCTCAATTTATGAATTAAGGCAGAAGAATAAAATATACTTCTCGTGTGAAACAAATGATCGAGTTATTTTCCCCTAGTCATTCCATTCCCAATGTATATTTATTTTTGTGCAGTTATTACTTGATATTTTACTACTTCATACTAATATTTCTTAACTAAACAGCTGTGCAAGGACAGTTCCTTGACTACCTTTACCTAAGATTTTTTAGTCTCTAGATCTTAAAAAGCCTGATTTTACAAGCACATCTTCTGTGTCATTTCACCTTGATTAGTGTTGGGGATGTGTTCTTGTATAGTAATATGATGCTTAAAGATATTAAAGATTTCAATTTCCCGCATGTATTATTAATCTATGAGATTATGATAGGAAATAATAACAAAAATAAATATAATAGTATATCTTTAATTTTCTTGTGTTTATGGATGGGAGTAAAGCCAGGACCCACTGTCACCTTAGTCTTTTCTGCCTTCCTTCAGCTCTTTCACATAGTTTGTTAAATGACTAAAATTTAACAAAAAATGTAATAGCAGACTGTTTAATGCAATTATATACTTTTAATGGAGATTTAAATTAAAATTCTGTTATAAATACCTGGAATTGGGTCAGGATGGTATCTTAAAATGGCAGTGGGTATTGGATTGTTTCTGCTGGTTGATAGGACAAGTAAGAGTTGCTTATAGAAGTCCTAGCAACAACAAATCTGGATTCCAGAGGTGAGAATTGTTACCTGTTATGAATTAAAGCAAAACCACCACCAAAAATATGTTTACCAGCTAACAAATGTTTCTTCTTAGTTTTGTTTTTAATCATTCAAGTCTTTCTACAAAATATTTAGCAAGGAATCAGGTTGTTGTTTGTTTTTTTTTTTTAATACTCTGTGTACAGTTTGCTGTAAGATATTTAAAACATACTTTGTATTTCACTTGAGCAGGAAAGTCTGCAGCTTCAGACGGACACATTGCAACAACAAAATAAAGAAGCTGTGGCAGCTTTTAAAAAACAGGTAGCAAAATAAGGCCTTCAAGCTTTGACAATGACATTTTAGAATAAGATGGCATGGTAGCAAGTAATTGGTATTAAAATATTTTCAGTTGCATATAAAATGTTAGAATATGTAGCTCAAGAAATCAGGTCTTTCTCTTTTCCAAACACAGTATGATGCCTGTATTTTGGCAGTTCTTCCCAATGAGCCAATCTTCTTGGGAATTTTTCATTTTTATTCTTCCAAAAATTCCTGGAGAAGATAATGCTTCTTTTAATCTTTTTTCACCAGGGTAACTTCTTTCTAAGACAGTATGTCTACTGCAAGGTTAGATTAACAAACCATGGCAAAAGTCTGCCACATAACTTACTCAATTTAACATTTGGAAGTGTGTTTTAGTCTTTCAGATCAGAGTTGTTTTTTTTTCTCCATAACATATAATCAACAAAATTGAGTGCCCAAGAACTTGCAAAGAACAGTCACAGGAACTGAAACTGTTTTTGTTATTAATGCATCACAATCATATCACACAAAAAAGAAATTGACAAGCAATTAGGTTTTTCTTTTTTTAAAAAAAAATTGCAATTCACAAGTTTGCTTCTTGTAACTCTATACGTAAAGATAAAAAAGCCCAGGAAGTACACTGTGCAGGGTAATAGCACTATATTGTCTTGTCAAGGTGCATGGATACAATTAATCCCATATGCTGTATTGATTTGTTGTTTTGTTTTGTTTTTTTTTCTTTAAATGCCACTTACAATCAGTTACAAGCAAGGATGTTTGCCATGGAAGAAGAAAAGGTACTCAGTTACAATTACTTATTATTTGTCATCCAGTGAAGCTAATGATAATGCCATATAGCTTAACAAACATATTCTGAGTATAAACTAAGTGTATTACAATTACATTATTTTTCTTGCTATGGCCTTTGCAAAATAAATTTCTTTTTAACCTTTGTTACAGTCATTGTTTTGTTTTGTTTATAGACTGCAAAAGTTTTTTATTCCATGTGATATGTCACTTAAAAAAATCTGCTTATGCTAAGAATCAGTGGTGGAATAATAATTATTTGATAATTCTATACTGAAGCTATTAAAAAGTTACTTTATTTTAGGGGTTTGAACAGTTGTCATGTACTAGTGAAAAATAACAATTCTAGTTGGTTTAGTAAAACCAGATTTTAATAGGGCTTGATTTCCTAAGGAACTTGAACTAAACTGGAGAATTGCATACGTAAACAGGAATTTCTGGGATTTTTCTTAACTACATGAGTTTTTATAGCAAGCTGAGTGCCTGCTTCCTCTTCTGAATAAAGGATTTGCATTTGATGTGTTAGGAGCCTATTTCAAATAGTAAAGCCTATGAATGTGGACTCTACTGTTTCACTTAAATTTCCCGATGAGGAAGAGTAGATGAGTATGTTACATGTTTTGTAAGAACTTGAACAGAAATTTGCCAACAGGTGAAACTGGCTTGAAAGTATATAAAAGTTAACTATATTGTTTACTGCATTTATATTACCTGGTTATTTTCTTGCTTGCATTTTGAGGTTTTTCATGTTAAGACACCCTGTTTGTCCACACATACCTGCAAACTAGCCCTTGATCTTCATTTTAAATGACCGCTACTGTTTCAAAATTGTGTGCTGACTTGGTTTTTTTCCCCTCTAAATACAGCAACTGAATCAAACAGTACTTTCAGTACTGTATACCAAAGTAACTAAAAGAATAAATCGAGCTATAATGTTTCAGGACAGAAAACACATGCTTTTACTCATCAGGGTGGTTTCAGGAGATTGCACAGTCAGCACTATCTACCCAGAAATGAGTGGAACACACAGGGGTGATTGAATGGATGTATTTGTTTTCCCTGGCATATCTAGATTCTGCTCTCTGTTGCATTGCTTGCTGCCCGAGATTCTTACTTGACTTAATTCCACTGAAGTGCTTACACTTTATTCTTATTTATATGTATCTATATATCTATGTATGTATGCGTGTGTGTATATATATGTATATACATAAGTGTGTGGATATATACGCATACACATATATATGTATATGTTTGCATGTATTTAGTAATTCTAGTGATAGCAGATTACAGCCTAATCATTGTGGACTGGAAAAGATGAGGAAATGTTTTCTGTGACAACCTTGCTAAGGGGTCTAATGAGTTTACCTGGTACTTGGCTTTGGTATTTAGTATCTTTGCTCTAAACTAAAGTAACTTATGAATTCTGCCTTTCTCAGGCTTGTCTCTCCCAGAACAGAAAACATTAAAACTTCGTGACTACTCATAAGTGGTGAAAAAGTATTATAATAATTTTGATTTTCTTTTTATAGCAATATATATGTACATTTTAAAACTGTTTAGCTGAACTTTTACCTGTTTTCACCAATGAATTGTTCTGTCATAGCAGAGTACTGCATTATTTTCAAAACATTCTTGTTGATAAATTCTTGTAAATGTATTTATTCTGCCCAAATCCTGAAGTATGGCTTTTGTTGAAAGGGAAAATATCAACTTGCTGTGGAAACAAAAGAAAAAGAAATTGATGGACTTAAAGAAGCATTAAAAGCATTACAGGTACATTTATTTTTGTTGAATAATTTTCCTTGTTCTTTAAGTGCTTCATTTTTAGTGGGTTTTTTATTATTATTTTTTATTATTATTATTATTATTTTCCACTGGTAAGAAGATAGTTGTTTTTAAGAGGGTCTTTCTGTCCTCTCATTTAACCTTTCTAGTACATGTGCATCTCACTTCCTAACACTGAGTTTCTGATATGATCTTTAGCATCAGCAATACTTGGTTTGCTAAAGTTCTTCTCCTCCAGAAGAACTGAAGACTCAATAAAGTCCCAAAAATCTGGGAAATGTGCTTTCTTTTCACTTCCATAGTCTCCCTCTTTCTATTCTTGTCGTCTTCTCACCTGGCTGGAAGCTTTGGTTTGGGAGTCCTAAACAGAAGCGAGTGTTCACACTGGGCCAGCAACTCACAGTGCTACCTGTTTTTCAGTCTTTTCCTTTGTTTCACTAGGAGATTTCTGTATTTACCACTTAATCCATGGCTTTCCAAAGCCTATTTGTGATCAAAATTGTTGCACGAGCACATGATTTACTCTGGTGCCACTTGATGTTATATCTGTATATTGTGTTGGTAGATGGTGTTGGAGCACTTCATGATCCAGTTACCTGAAATAAAGGAAGACATAGGAACATAGCTCATACTTAGTTTTCTTTTAGAGACCAAGACAGATAGATTGAAAATGGATTAAAAGGGTAGAATTCTGAAGGTTTTCGTTCAACACAGAAGAGAATTAGCATTGTAATGCATTGCTAGATTTCAGGTATTGCCAGGAACTAATTAGTTTTCTACCCAAAACTGAGCAGGATAACTGTTCTGTTGACAACAATGTGGTTATAATGGATTATTACCCAGGATTTCACCACCTGTTTGGTTCTCATTCACATTCTTTCATAATAGGATGCATTTATTTGGTATCAGACTGTTTGTTTAATCATTTAGTTACCACTGAAGGTATTTTAGGAGCAAAATATATTTACTCCCATGGCTGGTCACCTGTGCAATAACTGTAAAGAATTTTGTTGCCTTGTTCAAGCCTTGGCATCGCACAGATGTTGTAGAATATCCCTCTGTGGTCTGCTCAACATAACATTGGACAGCGAAGATAATGAAACAATCCACTGGTCTTTCTTTTCTAGGATAGAACAAATATTTTTTTGTTTTGTTTTTAGAAAAAGCTTTACATTAAATGTTCATAGATTCAACATTTGTGTAACAGTTCAGATCTAGGAAATCCTGCTGTGACTTGAGAAAGCAAGAGGTCACAATGAACCTGTGGACACAGATAAATTGTTTGGAAATCAGCCTAAAACAAGAGTGAGGAATTCCTGATTTCATTGTATAGTCCTCTGTATCCGGAGAGTCACAATAATTAAAATAATTGTTCTCTAGGCTTATTTTTTTCTAGAAATAATATTTCTGTAAAAAATAATAGAAATAATATTTCTGTAAAAGATTTACACACACTGGGTTCTATGACATTTCTCTCTCTTTTTCTTTAACATTGTCCATGTTTTTTTAAATGTTCTAAGAGACATAGAAACTAAAGCACTTGCGATTTTAAGTGTTATTCAAGTGAAAACTCTCATGTCCATTGTGTATGCTAAGTGTTAATGACTTCAAATGTCACCCTTATATTAAAGCATGCAAGATTAGTACAATATGTATTTAAATGCCACTACTCAGAGTATCTACTTAGATTTTTTTTTTTTTTCCAACAGAGAACACATTTCTATTCTTCTAGAACTTGAGGAAACACTTTCATTTCTGTCTCTGTTTCCTTCTCTGTTTGTATCTAAGGGTCTAGTTTACAGATGGTTTTCTATTTGCACAATATCTTATGGTAAATGTCAGAAAACACATGGATTTATGCATTTTAAAAATGTTTCTAGTAACAAATCAGCATAAAGCATTTTTACATAATTTAAATATTGAAGAGAAATTATGGAAAGTGATCTAGTAATAAAAAAATAGTGTCATTGATTCAAAATTATGGTGGTTGTTGGAAAAAATGCAACTGCAGTTTAATTAATAGTTCTGTTTTATTTTACAGATTTCAAAGTACACTTTACAAAAGAAACTAAATGAAATGGTAAGAAATTAATAAAAGTAAAAAAAAGGAACAGCTTTTATGAAAAGAGAATCTCTGCTTAAACTATAATGCAATTACTAGCCTACTCTGATAGTTGAATGATGTGTGATAATTACTACAAATAACCAAAAGAGGTGATAATCAGCTTTGAATATGAAAAACTTTCTGACAATTTTAGTTTTTTATAGTTCAATAGCTGCTCTTTGTCATGTGGAATTTTTTCTACATGTATTAAAGTATAATTCGTACATTTTTTTTCTCTTTATAGATTAGAGTGAAGGCTTTTTATAGACTGTGATTTGAATAATATAATTATATTAGCCTTCTAGGTTCTAGCATAATCCTCTCAAAAAAGTAATAGAGAATACCAAGCAGTTATTAAGGATATTTATAAGAAAAAACTAAGATTTTACTCTCACTCTTTTTCGCTTCTCTTCTCAGAATTACTTCTCAACATCAGTTCCCCTGAACAGTTTAGATTCCATCCAGTCCAGTTTACTCCCTTTGACACAGAGAATAAATTTCTGTGGAGTGACAGCATAGTTGCTCTGAACCCTGTTGTCTGTTTTAGGAAGTGAAAGAGTGAGCTGCAGAAACATTGCTAAGCTTGATTGAATAAATGCTGTGGAAATTCTGCTGCTGCTCAACTGGAAAGAATAAAGATAATATTGTCAGACCATTACAAACTGTGATTTTAATTAAGAAGCTCAAAAAACTAGGGTCCAGTTTAGCTTTAAGTACCATGACATTTGTACTGAAAGTCATCTTCAACGGTACAGTGGTTTTACACAAAATATGGTGAAATTGAATAATGTGCCCTCTGACCTGGGAGATAAGGCTACAAGTTAAAGATCAAAGGCAACATAAAATGTGTTTTGTCTTACTTCACTTTTAACTTGTATATATATTCTTAAAATACATGTAATCTAAAAATGTGTTTAAAATATATGGAATTCGTGAACTTGCATTTAGGTCTTTTCACATACTACCTTTCATTCTTAACTTGCAAGCTCAATCTTCCATTTGAATTAGAATATTTAAATCACAACACCTTTTCTATAAACTAGAAATACATCTGTGCTGCTTAAACAAATATCTTCCTTATGTTTATAAACTTTTTCAATAATTGATTATCTGAATATCTCACAAACATCGGGATGCTGTGACTTTGATACCAAATACGGTTATTTAATGCTATTGAGTGGTGGACAAGATATTAGAAATCCTCTTTTGCATGTAGCACTAAACATAACATGTGTGACTTAGCCATATATAGAAGATGCTCTGGTATGAAGTGATGAAAACAAAAAAGCACAAGGTAAACAGAAATTAATTCTTTCTTACCACTTTATGCACTAGCAGGCTAATATATGCAGTTTTAAACGGGGTTAAATTCTACCAAGTTTACTCTGAATAGCTGCACTGAAGTTGTCGGTACATTCTAGGGATCAGAGTAGTAGTAGCCCATGTAGGGTCTCTTAGCCTGCTATCACAAATGGCAAATTATTTAATAAAAAAATGGATGAAATTCCAAACCATTTCTATTTCAATTCAAGGTTTATAAAGGGCAGATTAGATCATGCCCTGGCTAGTGTTTTGAAAGTAAGCAGATGTGCTGTTTAGTTTATATCAGGCACCTTGGAAACTCTGTCAGTCAGTAAAGTAGCTTTTGTATGTGCTGGGGACTGAGCATGTCTTACTGATGTAGCATTTTATTCTGATTTTCTTCCTTTATTTCTTTTCTTTTAGGCTTGCATATATAATACTAGCCTAATCCATGTACATCATCATTTAGAGTGTTACTCCAGTTAAGGTTATGTGAAAATTTTAGTGATATAATTATTATGATACCTGCTAGTATTTTGAAATCGTGCAAGTTTTTGTTTCATATTGAAAGACTGTGTAGAGACAAAGAAACAAAGGATTTCTTTTTCTCCCATCTCTGCTTTGCTTCCACAATAAGTGTCGGTTATTGTGTGTGGTGTAGTCACTTTGCTCCTCACTGCATAAGGATAGTGGAACTCATGATCAGGAGGCTACAGGATTACTACAAAGCTACTTGTCTGATAGAATAAGCTTGAGTGTGGGTTCTGTATGATATTCTTGCTGCTGAAATGAAGAACTAACTGGCTTTGGTCAGGTCTTGGGTTCCTCCTTCATTCATTTCATGGCAGGTGACACAATGTAGAATGCTAGAACTCTCTGAGTGTAGAATAGAATCTGATGTAGAGTAGAAAAAAACCAACAAAAACCTAAATAAAATTTTTCATCTGTTCATGTATTCCCTTCTAAACTTCCATTAGCTGATTAAGGACATGTCTGAGAGAGTGAGCATTTAGAGTTACTTGTCTTCTGCAATCATTAAATCTTAAATATACTTCATGATGCTAAAATATAAAAAGGAGAGTGAGATTAAGGCTACTGTTGGCTGGCTTAGAGAACAAATCTTGTGTGCAGTTCAGAAATTAAATTTGGAGTGCAAGATCTCTATAGTCAATGGGAAGACATCACTGTCTACCAGGTGGTGATTCAGTGCATCAGTATTAATGAGTAAAGTAGATGAAGTGGCTATTTCTGTGGATGACTGGTAATTAGTCTAGCTTCACTTGCTAGCTGTGTTTACATTGGTAAACTAAATGTTGGTAAGACCACTTAAGTGAAGCTACAGTCAAATTATATGAAATGGTCTAGGTTCATTAAACTGTACTGCACTTCAAACGAGGGAAGCTGCATCCAAATAGCTCACATTGTTCCCAGCAGACATCCTCCTGAACTGTGCCCAGGAACTGCTTGCATGAGGGCTACTTGGCACAGGCCAGGATGTGCCAGGGATATTTTCACAACAGTATAGGTATTTCCTGAGAGCTTCCCTGCCACCATTTAGTTTTCTAATACAGATGCAAATGGTAAATGAATGAAAAATGAATTCCTGTAAAATGTTAAGTATATGTCATTTTAAATGTTGGCTTATTCTTAATAATCTAAGATAGGAATGTTACTTTTATTTCTTTTTCACAGCTCTTTAGGAATTTGCCTGTAATTATACTGTGGTCTTTTAAAATACAAAGTGAGAAGGCAGTGACACAGTATAAATTAAAAATAATTCCTTTTAAGTAGAAAAACAGTGGGAACTGGAGGAACTATTGAAGAAGAGAAATGCCTATTTTTAAGGCTTACAGTTGGTAACCCTTTGCATATAATTTTCATGTGATCTTGCCATAGGTCTCCATGCCATTGCATCTCCTTTGTTTCTCTGACACTTTCACCTCCCGATTACCACCTTCTGCTTCACTAAGTAACTCTGACTAGTGACTTAATTTCCAGAATATCTTTGAGATATGAGCAATTCCCTCTTTGTCTTCCTCCAGCCACCTAACTGACCCTGAGCTATTTCTCTGGTCTAGTTCCACCAAGAAATCATTGTGCCTCAACAAACCATATGGCCACAATCAGTTCCACTCCCCATCCCAGCCTATCTTTATTACTGATGGAGAGCAGGGCAATAATTCGTGTTCTTGCAGTATCAGACACTAGGAAGGAGAACCAAGATACTATGGGTCTTACTCCAACTCCGGGGTCATACCCTCCCTACCCTGCAGTGTCTCCCACTTTTTCTTGATTTTTTTCTATGGAAGAATGTTTTAAAAGATTTTCACTGTGAGCAGAAGAATCACATACTCAGGGATGGATGTCAAAAGGCAAACCAAGCTGCTTTTATTTTGCTGTGTACGAAGCCTGGAGATCATCAGCTTGCCATCAAAAGTCACATTTAGGCAAGTGGTAAGCTCTTAATAAAACTTTTGGGGCTACAACAGGCCAATTCCTTTTCTCATTGGAAAGAGCTCTGAGAAGCAACAAAGCATATTTCTGTTTTTCTAATGAGGAGGTGGGGCTTCACACTGTCTTGCTGACTTAAGACAGAATATAGGAAAAATCTGTATTAAAAACAGTGCAAAAAACCTCAGATCTTGCCTCAAGCTGTTCCAGTGTTAAATTAGCAATGCTTCTCTGTTCATCAATCTGTTAGAATAAATACACCTGAATGACTATCAGGAAAAGCAAATGTAATTTTTCCTTTTTTACTCTTTTTTTGTGGTGTTATAAAATCCATATTCTAGTATAAGATAAGCACAGTTCTCCAACAGTTTTCTTATGACTAGGAAGAAGAGAAACTATAGGAACATTCACAACCTGCTTTCCTTACAGTGTTTCTGTAAGTGGTGATGTTTCTTCCATTATGGCTTTCCATTTGCTGTAGTGTGTTTAATTTCATACCTTATAAAACATGAGAAATTTGTATTGTATATCCTGGTTTGCCAGCCTCATGTTGGTAATTTCTTTTGATTACTATCAGCTTTTATTATCCTCTGCTGCTTGGACATGTATTCCATTTGTTACTGTATGGAAAGGGAGCCTTACAGAATCCAAACAGACTGGTCCAGATTCATCCTTTTGTGACTTGAATTTACACACAGGAATGAATTTGACCCAATTCATTTTAATTACTGTGTTGCTCTACTGTAGATTAGAAACAGATTAGATGTCTAAATAAATGAATATCTTTCCCGAGGAATTAATTTTACCCCTCTCTTCAGAGAAAATTACTTTTTAAAATTACTGAATAATACCTGCAAAGCTATTAACAAAATACAGCATAAAGAGGAAGAGAAAAAAAATAATTTCTAAAAAATCAGTGACATGTCTCACTGAATATAGTTTCCTGTGAATATGTATTTTCAATCACTGTTTCACGAAATGGGAGAGGGAGAGATTGGTAAAGTTCATAAAACTTAAATGCATTTTACTTAATTACTGAGGAGAATTAATTGCAACAAGATATTACTTAGGCCAAGATGTTAACAGAAGTAAAAATAAAGTGTTAGATGCTTACCAAGGAAATTAGAGAAAAAAACAATAGATACATGATCTTAAAGCAGAAGTGAATTCATTGTATTTCAAGATATTTCAACTGCTAATTGATACTGAGGAAGTAATTCACTATAAGCTTATTCACATTTTTCTGGGGAGAATGGAATATTAATCTGCATTAGTTTCACTGATCTAAATCAAAGTCATCACTACTCTTTAAAAGCAGTTGGTGCACTTTTTTTATTTAGCATTTTGGTGTGTCAGACACACAAATTGTCTCCTAACTGTTCTTGCATTATGTATTTTTTAACAATCCCAGAACTGAAATAGATGAGGCTGTTTGGCATCTTTGGAGATGACTTAGTCTAACCCTGCCCTGCTCAAAGCAGGCTCAGTCAGAGCTGGTTGCACAGGGCCAAGGCCAGCAGGGTTTTGAGTATCCCCACAGATGGAGGCTCCATAGCCTGTTTGTGCAACTTGTTCCAGTAATTGTTTTCCCCTCTCAAATTTAAGTGAAATATCCAATATTTCACTTTGTGTCAGTGGGGACCACTAAGAAGAGTCTGGCTGCATCTTCTTTATTTCCTCCCCTCCACCCCATATTATACACAGTGGTGAGATCCCTGAGTCACCTCTTCTCCAGGCTGAACAGTCCCAGCTCCCTCAGCCTCTCCTCACATGTCAGGTGCTCAAATCCTGTGATTATCATAGTGGCCTTATACTTTGAATAAGTCTGCATTGAACAAAACCCAAACCAGTACTTTTGTTTGAGTTTGTATTGTAATGTAGCTTTAAAAGTTTTCTTTTTTGATTAAAACCATGTGATGCTGGGAAGTGCTGAAGATCATGAAAGGAAGATAGTACACTTACTAGTGGCTTTACAAAGAAGAAGAAACCCTCTCTGCATAATAGATTGCTTTAGTGATGTTACAGAAGAGAAAAAATATCTGTAGACATCATTGTCATGATACATACACTAACACTGTCGCCCATGTTTAAGGAGCTCCTACTCTTGCCTGTCTCCAACCACTTCATCATTTCTACACTGCTTCTTTATGAAGGTGCTGGGATAACTGGATGTGGGGGCTGTGATTTAAGCTGTCTAGGATTTTTAAACAGGCAGCAGAATTTTGTTGCGTAACCTGGTATAGTTTCATACTGCAGTAGGGACAACTAAGCAGCCAGGGCAATGAAGTACAAACATAGAGCTGCTGAAGCCACTGTATTTTTTTGAAACTGCAGCTAAAGGCATGGACAGGTACTGAATAGCTGATGTGGGGTGGGTACTGCATTAACTTGCATGAAAATCCTACATCAAAGGAATGAGACAATGCAAAGCTGTGCTGAGCTGTAGTGCAGGAGGACAAGTATAAACCACAGGCAGCTCTAGCATGTTAGACTGTGTTCACAAGGAAAACATGAAAGCAGGATTTGAAAACAGTTAATACAGTTCTGCAGACACTTACATGAAAGTTGTCCTGAAAATAATGGACAGCATATTAAAATATATTAGTGCTTTTTTGATAATCTAACACACAGCTGAAGGTCTTTGGAATGAGATGCGAGCTGGAAATGGGAACTGATAGATACGAAATAGACAACTGAGATATTCTGGGAATGACTTTGCATTTCTGCTATTATGATAAAAAGCATTTGGAGAGTTGTTTTATATGTGCTAGTTACTATCATTAAGTAGATGCTTCCTATGTGTTTCTAACAGGATCAAAAATTACAGATGCACTTAACAGCTAAAGAAGAGCATCATAAGAAACTGAATGAAATTGAAAGGTGTTATGCTACTATTGCATGTCAGTTTGGAATTGTAAAAGGTGTTCATGGAAAACTAGAGCACAGTGGTATGTATGTCTTAAATGTCCTCCAGCATTTGTTTTTGCTGTGTTTTGACAACACTGAGTTGGAGATACCTGACAATTCAGAAAAAAATAGCAGCTACCATGTGACAAACACCAAATACACCAACTGACAATTACTGTATCTCAGCAGCTTTCTCAGTGTTTTCTTTCTGTGACAGTGCCAGGTTAAGGAGCACAGGCCTTGTGCCTCTTCTGCTCCCTCCTGATACTATACTACAGTTATGCTTGTGAACACAGAGTAAATTATATTGAGGAAATTATTTGTGCTCAAAACAATCTAGCAGCAGACCCACCCCTTCCAGCATTATTGCTATTTAAAGTAGATTTAATGTTGGGAAATAGACAGGAAACATTAAGGAAATAACTAAAATTGTTTTGTTGTTCAGAATGTAAAATCCTAAAACCAGTTTGTGAAAACAAATTGGGTAGATGACTAATTTATGCAGTTATTGTAATGTAGGTTCTGACTATATGGCTATTCTAGCTTTATAAATATGTACCTTATTCCTCTTCATTTGTTGATACATAACAAAGCAATTATTATTCCATATACTTTTATACAAATTTATAATTTTAATCTATAAAATAATTAAGGTGATAACCTCAAGTGATAAAAATACCTCATTAGATGAATTTTGAACTTAGTACTTTGAGAGCAAAATCCTTTTTTCTCATAACAAGGGGATAAATTTCTGTGTAAACGTCACTGTGTATGTGTAGAATACAGACTTGTGTATTTTTTTGTGTGCTTGTAGTTTTCATCATTGTATACACATACACGGGATATAAATAAAAAGTATTATTTTTTAAGGAAGGGGAAAAGCGTTTCAAAACAAACAAACACCTCAAGAAAACAAAAAACCCTCACCAAACCCACCAAAAATTCAAATGTCAAAGCTTACAAGTTTGTGGATTTTTTCCTACCTGAAACCAGATAATTTTTCAGATCTAATTTGAATAAATTGGTCATATGTTTTATATGTATTTGTGATTTCTTTGTGATTTCAATGACTCAACTTTTTGTAAAAAAAAAAATTAATAGATTAATATTAAGAACAAACTAAGGTAAAACATTGCTATGTTTTTCACTTGACAATGGAGAGGACTTTTCTACTATGTCAGATGCAGAAAGATCTTTTTACGATTCCATTGGAAAAAAAACACATTTACTCTCAGAATTTACACTATTTGAACCATATATAAATGCTTTTTGCCATGTTTTTACTTACATTTATCAGTAATTGTAAAATTAGCCTGTAGAAAAGATTAAATATTTTACTAACTAATTGCTGCTGTGTACAAAACCAATTTGTTCAACCAGTTTTACTCCAATGTGTCTTGGCTGCAGAGAGAATTCAATTTGCAGTACAGTATGTAAGATGTGCAATAGGCATGTAGGGAACTTGTACATTCTGAGCAAAAAACTGCAGTCAGTGGAAAAGTCAGGCAGAAAGTACATGAGCCATTTTTTATGCAGGTTGTTTAAATTAAGAAACTCTTGTTCTTTATCTGCTGTATAAAAGCAGTATGTA